ATATCGCTACCAGAAAGTTAACCCTAATATTAATATTATTTCCTTGAATTGCTTATCTTAATATCGGTGAAATATCTTAAGTAAATTATTTTGATTCGAATAAAACATACCAATTATATTTGGCACGAAAAGAAATATATTTTCAGACATTGCTTTGCTTACTCTTCCAATCCAATTAGCTAACAGAGCTGCCCTCTAGCGGTTTTTCATTGACATTATATTAATTGATAAATAAGTACATGTTTAAATATAAATTATTTGAGGATATACTTACTACATTAAATAAAGATTACACAATGTAAAATATATTTGAGAAAGCAAGAAGTATTATAAAAACAAGCTTTCAAGCGAAATACCTCCCATGAACCTGTCTCTTTGCCTTATAGAACTGAAATACTTGTTTGATGTTACACTGAAATTTTAATTCATAACATTTTGTTTTTTAAAAAGCAAGATATGGATCATATTAACATACAGTCATTCATCGCAACTTTACTCAAGTACTTTCAATTTTCTGAAGCCGATATCTAATTATAAAATTAAAACTGATGATATCTGATGATTAAGCATTGCACTCAACAAATTAATAACTGCATACTTTTCACGTTCTTTAGTACATTTACAAATAGTCTAAACTCGTGATTCATAAACTTTTCATATAACTTGGATGCAGTATAAATCGTCACATAAACAAGACATTGAATGTATACCATTTAAGTATATGTTTTGCAATATGTTTAGGCATGGATAATACGTCATTTATTTGTTATCTTTATAACTGTATTATTATTTTTTTAAATACTCGCTAGGGATAGTACTCTACATAGGCTCCGCCTTTACACTGGATCATCGGCTAATGGCAATATAACATATCCATGCGTTGGTGCCATCTATTGTTGTAAATTATATGTTCGTATTAATTGAAGTTTCATAAATGTTTGACACAGACATAAAGTTGAAATTCCGCTAATAAATTAACTTAATTGTTTGTTTTTTTATTAAGCATAAAGCTACACAATAGGCTATCTTATCTCCGAGTTACCGAAGGACCGAATTCGTTTAAATCTGAAGTGACTTAACATATCACATTCTATCATAAAAATTGTTTCATAACTTTTATATCCCCCTCAAGTATCATATCTTTTACAAATTTATACTAAGCTACTGAGTATTACAATATCATATAACTAGCTCAGGAATTAAGATAACCAAAACAATAAACATTGGTTGAATCACAAGACAACTTTCCCGAAGTGACATCAGATTCTTGGCTTCCACTAGTTAGAAGGTAACTTCTACCATAGTAACAATACTTCCTTAGCTTTCACACAGTTACAAGAGATATCTTCCCATAGTAACAATACTTCCTTAGCTTTCACACAGTTACAAGAGATATCTTCCCATAGTAACAATACTTCCTTAGCTTTCACACAGTTACAAGACATATCTTCCCATAGTAACAATACTTCCTTAGCTTTCACACAGTTACAAGAGATATCGTCCTACAGTAACAATACTTCCTTAGCTTTCACACAGTTACAAGAAATATCTTCCCATAGTAACAATACTTCCTTAGCTTTCACACAGTTACATGTGATATCTTCCTACAGTAACAATACTTCCTTAGCTTTCACACAGTTACAAGAGATATCTTCCTACAGTAACAATACTTCCTTGGCTTTCACACAGTTACAAGAGATATCTTCCTACAGTAACAATATTTCCTTAGCTTTCACACAGTTACAAGAGATATCTTCCTACAGTAACAATACTTCCTTAGCTTTCACACAGTTACAAGTGATATCTTCCTACAGTAACAATACTTCCTTAGTTTTCACACAGTTACAAGTGATATCTTCCTTAGCTTTCATGAACCTATAACGCTGTTTAAACAATGGTATGTGTCTTATATTATCACAGACGTAACTATTCTCTAAAGTTAAACTGTAGAAGTGGTCCAGTGAGTTTTATTTAGTTAAAAGACGATGCTGTGGATAATAAATAAGCATGCTATACTAAGGTTACAGTTTCTAAAGAATTTTACTTCTACGGCAATAGTTCAAGCATATAGTGTTCCAGAGGTAAGGTGTATCATATTATTATTTTATTGTCACTTTCATTACCAGTATTGGTTATACCACTTAATACGTCGAATGTTATTGGCTTTTACTTGGATGTATTGTTTATTATTGTACTTTTATTATAGATATTGTTTTGCATTGTTAGCTTAATATATGTATTTAGGACTAACATAAATTTCCTGAGGTGGCTGAAACTAGTGAGGTTTACGGCCGAAAATATTGATAACAGCGAGGATTACCAAGAGCGAAACAAAAGTTAGGAAAATACGAAGGTTTAATAAATCAATTTAACACAAAAATACGATCCCTATAACCTGAGCTCTTTCGAAAGGAGGACCTTTCTTCTTCAGTTTGACCCTGAAGATGAAAGATCGACATTTCGAAAACACTCGGGTTATAGGGATCGTATTTTTGTGTTAGTTAGCTATACTAATAGCCAGGTGGGTTTTTAGTTTTACTTTAAAGTATACAGCTTGCTCCATGTCCGGAAGTTAATATGAATTACATGACAACTCCTGTCATAGAAAAAACTCTTCCTTAAACTTCACGGAGTCACAAATTAATTTATTACTCTTTTGAATTTAATTGCTCGCGAAAACATTTTTCAGCTTTGAAAGCGTGAGAGAGTTTTAGTCAATATTTGTGTGTGCACACGTATGGAGATTATTTAGCAGTAGAAGACTGTCATTTTCCTCTGAATATGTTTTAATCTCCTAAAATAACATGTATATTTAATCAAAATCGTTCTTATTCGGGGCTAAATACAGTTGGTCGTTAGTATGACAATGGCCCGAGAGAAAGATTATGCTAAGTTCACCGGTTTGATGGGTGGGAACTAGATACCTGGTTGAAGGCTCCCTCTCAGGGTTAAACACGGAAGTAAGTTACGGTTCTACAGTGCGTGTCCGTTTCGCCCGTAAACTTTGACGCAATCTTAACGTAGGAAATAAAAAAGCCGGGAAGAATCGGTTGAAGTAATCGTTGTGTTTCTGTGTTCTTAGACTGCCATTAATATCAACGTCTCGAAAAGTTTACTAATACGCAACATTGTGAACGATATTTTGGAATTTGAATTTTTTCTTAAATTAAAAGACAGAAGGAAAATTATCAACTAAATAAAGGTAAGGAAATGTATTTGAATTTAGCTTTATTTATGTTACAGTGACAGTTTGTTTATTTTGCACTTGCACTGTTCCAGCCGTCCAGATAGTTATATTTTAACCCCCACAATCTGTCGTTATCACAATTTCGAACCCTCGAATGAGATTTCAAAAAGAACATCATGAATTTTCCATAAACAGTCTTTTTAATTATAAATTTTAGGCAATGATTTATAAATTGTTAAAACGCCTAAAAGGCGATGTGTATTTGTGTATCCAGAATTGACTCACCGAAAGATATCTGTAGTCAAGACAATGTTGTGTACTGTTACTGATACAATTCTGAAATACATCTGTAGTCAAGACAATGTTGTGTACTGTCTCTGATACAATCCTGAAATAGATCTGTAGTCAAGACAATGTTGTGTACTGTTTCTGATACAATCCTGAAATAAATCTGTAGTCAAGACAATGTTGTGTACTGTTTCTGATACAATCCTGAAATACATCTGTAGTCAAGACAATGTTGTGTACTGTTTCTGATACAATCCTGAAATACATCTGTAGTCAAGACAATGTTGTGTATTGTTTCTGATACAATCCTGAAATAGATCTGTACTCAAGACAATGTTGTGTACTGTTTCTGATACAATCCTGAAATAAATCTGTAGTCAAGACAATTCCGTGTACTGTTTCTGATACAATCCTGAAATACATCTCACCCAGATAACTAGAAGCACTATCTCTTTCTGTATTTGATCATTTAATATCAGTTATATAAGCATTTTAAAACAAGTGACTATTCATACTTTGTTATAAATTTTTCAAAGTTACAATTTACTAAACAATCTTCACAGTATTAATTATCAACATATTACATGACAAAGTTATGCTGTTTTTTTCTTATATTTGATAGTTCACACGTGTTTCTCACCAAATACATTCTATTCTGCATGAGTAACCATTCCCTTCACAGCTTTATACACAGCCTGAACTGAATATACAAATTTCACACTCATTTACGACTGCTTAAAAAGCTTTTATAAACTAACAATGGTCAAATAAACACATCCAAAGATTACACTTAAAACTGATACCAATGCAAAGCCCTTAGAGTAAAGGTCTGCACTAGCCTGGGTTTGGTCCAACCCAGCCCATGTGACAGGCTCGGGCTGGGTAATAACCAAAAAGATCTAGGTTGGACTTGGATGAGTTTTGTCAAACTTTTGTTTTTATAAAAATTCAGACTTTCTACTCAAGTTTTCTAATTTTTTAAACTATTTTTAAAAGAAATATTTATAAACTTATTTCTTGAAAAACAGTAACGTACTCCCATAGTTGTAGCCAAACAATACTTATATATGACAGCTTCATAACGTTTATGCCCGGTATCAAAAGCACTGCTTTAAGGAATTTTGTAACTTTACAAAGACTGTCTCACGTCTACTTTGTATCAATTGTTAAAACATTCATATTAAATAGCAACCACAATATTGATGAGCACATATATTAGTACTTATGTTATTACATTTTTGTTCTCTATATCGGCAGGATGAAACATAAAAATGAGCCATCTCTATCATCATACAGTCGGCCGATTCCGCCGATCTTGTGAGCTAAGTCAGGTTTAGTGTGAAGAAGATCGGATATTGGTCGGGCTCAGGCAGCATGTTGTAAATACCAGTCAAGCTCAGGCCAGATAAATGCCAGGCTGGGTAAAAGTAAAATTATAAAACTTTGGCCTGTACCGAACTCTACCTTACAGTTTCTAATAACATTTGTAAACAATAAATTACCAGTACATTTGAAGTCAACTCACTCTGGTTAAAAAGTCGAGCAGCGTGTCCATCTAGAGCATCTAAAAATCCACTGGTCAGATAGCATATGGTGGCCTTGATGTGGTCTATCGGCATGTACCAGAAGGACAGCAGTGCCAGCAAGATCCTGGCATATCCTACATATTTATAAAGAATTCTCGTAACTAATATCACCTTTTCACTAGATACAGAGCTGGGCCAAAATCTATACTTAAATCACGTCAATGTTAAAAAAAAATGTTCCTTCTATTGATTTCTAGTTTTACAAAGTATATATATGGTTCTGAACCTACACATCTTTGTGTGGCTGGGTATTGTTAAATATTCTGAACCTACACATCTTTGTGTGGCTGGATATTGTTAAATATTCTGAACCTACACATCTTTGTGTGTCTGGGTATTGTTAAATATTCTGAACCTACACATCTTTGTGTGCCTGGTTTTTGTTAAATATTTTGAACCTACACATCTTTGTGTGGCTGGGTATTGTTAAATATTCTGAACGTACACATCTTTGTGTGGCTGGGTATTGTTAAATATTCTGAACCTACACATCTTTGTGTGCCTGGTTTTTGTAAAATATTTTGAACCTATAATCTTTGTGTATTTGCAGTTGCTTTGTGTTTAGAAATTTTATTTGTAGACTTTTAAGAAAAAGTTTAATGTTTAACATAAATGTCCAAATAGATTAGACTTTATGATAATATAACTACAATTTTGATGATAGACGCTATGATAATATAACTATATATGATTTTGATGATAGAAGCTGTGATAATATAACTATATATAATTTTGATGATAGAAGCTGTGATAATATAACTATATATATGATTTTGATCATAGAAGCTGTGATAATATAACTATATATGATTTTGATGATAGAAGCTGTGATAATATAACTATATATATGATTTTGATGATAGAAGCTGTGATAATATAACTACAGTTTTGATGATAGA